CGCCCGGAGTCTTCCGGGATTGGGCGGCCTAGAAATTTAACAAATAAATAAATAAATCTTCTTGTTCTCCCCTTCTTTCCCTCCCCTCCTGGTGCCTGGATATAAATGTACACACAAGTTAAGCCATTAGCTACAACAGCCCCAAGGTTGATATACCGCATGCAAGATCTCTTGAGGAAACAAGAGAACTTGGGATTGTGTGGGTCCATGGTTTCTTTCCACCTCCTACCTTTGCACGTCTTATAAAGCCACCTGACACAACACGGAGTCCGGGTCGTGTATAGAATAAAAACACCTACAAAGCCTAAAAACAAACAATGAGTAAAGGTAACAGTAACCATGATAGGGGAGAAGGCATACTCTGTACATCAGATGAGCCACCCTGATCTGGTCCAGAGCTTGGAGAGGTGGTGATGGGGAACTGGTTTTCAGAGATTGTCAACAGAAAAAGGACCTACACTTCCTAGGTACCATCAGATTAGACTACTTAGGGCAGTGGTTCCCAAACTTGGCAACTTTAAGACTTGTGGCCTTCAACTCCCAGAGTTCTCCAGCCAGAAGAGCTAGCTGGAGAATTCTGGGAGTTGAAGTCCACAAGTCTTAAAGTTGCCAAGTTTGAGAACCACTGACTTAGTGGATGGGACATGAAGTACCCACTTCTCTAGTGGATCTTATGGGCTAGGCAGAAATGATGGGAAAGAGCCAGTGCATGAGACAAATAGACCCAATAGCAGATCACTCTATGCAGATGTAATGAGTGGAAAACAATGACTGCCATGTCCGCTCTCATCATCACAATGTAATCCCTTTTATATGGTCTCAGATGTCCTTGTCTTTCTCCAATCATGCTTTATGCATCTCTTTCGTTATTTCATCTCCTGAAGCTCCTCGGCAAGCCAGGGAATCTGATAGGAGTAAAGAAAGGGGGAATATTTACCCAGGAATGTTCCAATGTTCCCAGCAGAAGATACCTAAGGCCTCCATCAAACTGTCTACCAGACTTACAGGACAAAGCCTAAGCACCCTCTGAAACCCATATAGAACTAATAATTGTCCATGGGTGATTTCTCTGGCAGCCAAAGCAGAAAATAATGAGAACAAAGGTTTTTGTCATCACAAGACAACTTTTTTCCCTCCTCCAAAGTAGGCTAAATGAAGTTCAGCGGTACTTCCAGATAAATATGCCAATGGTTACAAATTTAGCTCTGTTTATTTAGACTTTAAGTCCCATTGGTCACGATGTAACTGATGAGCTGCATAGATTCAACTATAAGCATCAGCAACTTCCCCAAGCCTATTTAGACTATAATATAAATATTCATAAACTGAGTACTGAAGTTATAGTAGAGGTTCAGATAATTAAAGAACATAAAGTTCATTTTTCTGTTGACAAAAATCAAAACAAAAACTAAAAATGCAGCATTCAGACTAAAAAACAATGAACATTGAAGCAAGGAGAGAGAGAGAGAGAGAGAGAGAGAGAGAGAGAGAGAGAGAGAGAGAGAAGCCCATGAATATAAAGGGCTGTTCAAATAATTCAACTTTGCAAAGGTCACCATATAGCCGCATTGCACAAGCAAAACATCCCTCCAAATCCACTTCTCCAAGCATCACAAAGGCACATCATCACAATTTAATGACTGCTCATATACAAAGGAGACAATTCTATCTGGATAGCACAAACCTTCTATTATGTATCGCAAAACGTGTGTGACATTAAAGAAAAATATCCATATTCAATATTTCATTCAAAGTAGCAATTGTTTGGAAACGGAATAATCTGGTAGGAAAAGCATTGTTAAAAACATCGCTAGGAAAATAAAAAGAGCAAACTTGAAACAAATGCATTTCAAAGCTTTTTGCTCTTGTTCCAGAGTATCAACCCAACTATCATTGATCTGCTTAAAAATGTATTTTAGTTTTTCAATGGTTTATGATAATGAATGTAGCTATCAATATCAGGAATTGAATCCATTGCTTATGATGCATCAATTTATATGCCTTAAGAAATATAGACAATAAACCAAGGCATAACAGTGTTCATTGTGAATAGGTGATTTTTCTCAGCAACTCCAAATCTCTCAACTACAAAGTATACATTACCACCAAAGGTGATAATATATGCTAACCCTTAATATAACCTACAAAGGTTACAATTTATGTAGTGTAATTTTAACAGGGTGCTGCATACGTATTCTTTTCAGGATCAATTCCTGATGACTTCTTAAAATCAATTTAAAAAGACTTACATGGTATACAGATTTTTTAATTTTATTCATTGAGTTCAAACTCCAAATCATTCTCTAAGAAGACTGTCTATTTGAGAACCTGTGAGGCTTAATATAAGCACATGTTTTTGTAAAGAGAGATTCACGGAGTTTAAATAAAGTAGATATATACCAGGAACTAAGCCACAATCTATATTTGAAGATAAATAGATGATCCACAATGCATCTATGTGACCATGGGCTACCTTGTTGGGACTTTCTTGAACTATATTCATCTTGGGATTGCATAGCACAGCCATCTGAACCTTAGAAAGGGCACTATTTCTTGAAGAACATGCCCACAGGTGTTCTCTGAGATACTGAACTGTATCTTTTCCCCATTAATGTCTAAGGAGGTTCCCGGATCATCCAGATTATGGTTGTCCCAAAGATGCATATCAAAAAGCAACTCAAGGGCGGGGTTTATTTTTTATTTTTAGAAGTAAAACGTTTTCGGGGGGGGGGGAGCTAAGAAAGTCCAATTGCTTTTGAAAAGCACCTTTTGGTTTTCCCCTTTAAGTCCCCATCACTGCATAATCTCACCTAGTTCATATTTAAAATGTTGCTAAAGGTTATGAGTAGATGTTTTAGAGATGCATTGGACTGAAAGTGGGCAAGGAATAAGAGAAGGAAAGAAAGATCAGGGACCAGCGTTTGTTTCTGTTCTTTTTCAGATTTCTGAAGTAAGAAGTGAGTATCTGAGTTAATTACTAATTTCTTAATATTAAGGAAAAATTGTTTTACAGTACCTAAGAATCCAATGTTATCTTGATTTATATCAGTGGTGGGATTCAGCCAGTTCGCACCCCTTCGGGAGAACCAGTTGTTAACTTTCTGAGCAGTTTGGTGAACTGGTTGTTGGAAGAAATCATTAGGGCAGAGAACCGGTTGTTAAATTATTTGAACCCCACCACTGATTTATACCCACTCTTACTTGAATTCCTTATCATGAGTTAATTTAAAATTCATAATGAATTCATAATTAATAATTGAATAACATTTTAGATTCAGTATGCTTCAGCCTCCATCATGCTTTTACTTATATTTAGTGATTTGACCAATCATTTAAAAAAAAAAAAATTAGCACATTTTTATTTATTTATTTTACGACAACAACTTATTTTATTGACACAAACATCCCATTCCAACAACTCAGGACTCCTATGAAGGGAAAATTCTTTGGAATATATAAAATGAAGTAGCAAAGGAAGAAACTGCCAGTGTTTGAAACAAAAATAGATTTTAGGGAGATAGATTTTGGGGATTTCATGGATTCTCCCAATTCCATGATGATGGAAAACGATGCCATGACTTATACCATTTCAATCCTTCACAGAAGAAGACTGTAATTATGTTTCTTGGGTGGTGGGATTTGATGGTTGGTCCTGATGGCATTTCAAAAGACTAGGGTCCGTGATGCATTGATAACATCTAGCACTTCTCAGAAGCTGAAAATAATAAATGCCATACAATATTGCCTTGTAAACATAGAATACAAGAGCTTCTTTTGACACCTATAATTCTTAACCTCTAAAGTTGCTGTTTTACTCCTCCAGCAGATGATCTGATGATTAAAAGTCTGTACAGTTTACATTGAACTGCTTGGGCATTGTTACAGTTTTTATCAATTGCGGGTGGGAGAACAACCTGCTGATTTATTATTGACATTGACAAATTAAAGCTAATGTGAGGATGATCTTTATTCCTCTTTCATATTCCCCAAGCTGGCTAAAAACGAAGACAAGTCTGTTCTCCGTGGTTTTCCCTACATCCCTTTTTCAGCGTTTACAAAGCCCGATATTGCTTAAGGAAGAGATATAAACTAGGACTGAGAAACCAGACCTTTCTTACATGCAATCCAGCTCCTAGGAGGAATGGTTTGGCATTTCCAAGCTCCAAAATTAAAGCTGGGTCCCCAGGGTAAGCAGGAGGTTGCCTTTCTCTGTTGCTGTGCAGTCAAGAGAAGATGAGCTAGAGTGACAGGTAGAATCTCCAGTTGCCCTTAAATAGCTGCAATTCTCAGCTGTCATTTAGCAAAGCAAATTTCATGCCTTTTTCCCTCTCTTTTTTTTTTCTTCTCCTCCTCCTCCTCTTCCCCGGCTGCTTTCAGGAAATGTCCCAGGAGCAACAGAATTCACAGGCAAAAGCAAAACACGGGGCACTACAGTTCAGACAACACAACGAGAGCATCGACCAGGTTAATTTAAAAAAAAAAAAAGAGCGCATGTTTCCACAATGGCAAAAGTAAACTGCAGACAGCTTGGACTTACAAAATACAGTATTATAGACAAAAGTTCTACACATGTTGCCTTGCATTTGTGGTAATCGACACCAATGAAAACAGAACGAAACATGTACTACAGCTATATTTGATTATGTATGGATATATTTGAAATAGTATACATTGTCTTGATGTTTTTCTGTAATGTAAATAAACTATTTATATCACACAATATAGTTTTTCTTTTTCATGTATTTGTTATATATAATAAATACTCAGTGATGAGAAAAAAAAACCCTACTTTTTTTTTGGCTTTCTTAAATTTCCTGTATCCTAACCACTGCATTCTCTTTTCAAGCTGCTTCTATTTCACAGGTACACATCTAGCTCATAAATAATATACACACATATGCTCACCCTTTGATGGACTTGTTGGTAGGCTCCCCTTGTTAACGATTTCAAAGGTTTTTGGCATAGAGCTCCTTTTCTGATTTTTTTTTAGGAAGTCTCACGTTTCCCCGGCCAAATGTCCATTAAATCTGTCTCCCATTTTATGTTTGTGAAAAGACACCCATCTGGTCTCCATCCCCCAGATTTCCAACAATCTGCCACTAATCTTTCCATCATCCAGCCCTGCTGCGTTCTTCCCACCATTCAGCCCAGTCTTCCTACAGCACACTGTCAAACTTCCTTCCCCTCCCGTCAAAATGCCCACCCCCTCAGCCTTCCCAGTTCATCAGATTTTCATTTGAAAATGATTTTTGTACATCAATCATCTTTTTAGCATCTTCTCACACCCCCTGGATTTCCCTTATGACCCTTACTTGAAAACCTTTAAGGCTTTTTTTTTTAATTCTTTCCAATCCGATGGAATATTGGAAGTAATTTACGTGCATGAGCTCAGGACTTCCAACTCTCTGTCCATCAACAGGGCAACATTCCAAAAATGAAACAGAACATGGGAGAAGACAACAAAAGAAAAATCAAGTCTGAAAATAGCTTGGATTTGGCCACAGGCTGTAGAGAAAATGTGCTATAAATGTGCTCCCCGTCCCTTGCATCCTTTTGAGAGAAATAGATGGGGAATGTCTCAGAATATTGGTGTCTCCTCTATTCTAACCACCCACAATGCCTTCCTTCTTGATCATGTGAACTTTTCAAACTCTATGACTTTCCCCAAATAGAAGTCCTCCATTTCTTAATCAGAATTGGAGGGAAGGGGCAGCAATTTAGTCAGTCATAGGAATGCTCCATTCAACTTGAGTACTTTGATGCTGGTGCCCTCTGCAGTAGTCTAATTCAACATTGTTTAATTATTCTGTGTCAAAATTACTCTGCTTAAGTTTTGGGCAGAAATAAAAGTGTTTGCCTTCAATTCTCCATCCTTCACACCCTGGTTTTTCATGTTTTGATTCAAAGTTCTTGCTGCCCATTTCTTCACTGGGCTACTGCTGTTTAGTTACTACCAGTGGTGGGATTCAAAAATTTTTACTACCGGTTCTGTGGGTGTGGCTTTTTGGGCGTGGCAGGGGAAGGATAATGTAAAATCTCCATTCCCGCCACCACTCCAGGGGAAGGTTACTGCAAAATCTCCATTCCTTCCTAATCAGCTGGGACTCAGGAGGCAGAGAATAGATGGGAGCAGGGCCAGTCAGACGTGGTATTTACTGGTTCTCTGAACTACTCAAAATTTCCACTACCGGTTCTCCAGAACTGGTCAGAACCTGCTGAATACCACCTCTGGTTACTAACTGTTCTTTATTCATTAAATGCAAATCCTGCCTTGCTGGGGACAAAGCACATGGTGCTCTCCATTCCCCACCCCCCACCCAATAACCGTGACCCGTCAAAACCGTGGTCCACTAAAGCGCGCCCGATTAAAGCGCGTACCTGACGTCATCAGCAGCGCGACAAATATGACCGCGGAGAAAAAAGGGCGCTTTAAAAAGCGCTTTTAAAGCAAGCCGATTCACGTAAAGGTAAGGGTTAGGGTTAGGTTAAGGGTTAGGGTTAGGTTTAGGGTTACGTTAAGCGTTAGGGTTAGGTTAAGGGTTAGCGTTAGGTTTAGCGTTAGGTTAAGGGTTAGGTTTAGGGTTAGGTTAAGGGTTAGGTATAGGGTTAGGTTTAAGATTAGGTTTGGGGGGGTAGGGTAAGGTTTTCGCGTTAATTTTAAGTTTACTGCTCAGCGTGCTGTTTTCGTCGCGCTGTGATGACGTCACGTACGCGCTTTCGTCGAGCGTGCTTTAGTCTACCGCGGTTTTGTGGTGGAACCCCAATAACACTTGAGGGGGAAGGGTTGCAGAGAAATAATAAATGGCTCAAAGTCATCCAGGAAGCTCCCATTGTGGAGCATGGAACTGACCTTCAGAAGCAAAGAAACATACATAGAATGGATAGCAAATGACAGGATTTACCTGTTCACGAAATCACTGCTGTCAAATACCTATTTTTCCAAAGCTGAAATATCTCCCTAATACCATCCCATCAAGTACCCCAGGATGCTTTTTGCTAAAAAAAAATATGTTGCCTTTTCATTCTGGGAAGGTGTTCATACTTCCAAACAGATGCCATCCACCATTTTGTTTGCAAATAAAGCCAACATGAGGACTGTATTGGGAAGGGTGGGGGGCTATGCATGCCAATTTCTCATTTGTGTACTTATTTATATTTCAATTTATTTTGAAGTCAAGTCTGTAAATAGCTTGGATTTGGCCACAGGCTATCAGGGGCTTAAAAAAGAAGGGCAACTTTGTGTTGACTCGCGCTCCCCTCTTTTTGGCTGAGGGGGTGAGCATGCTGATGGGAGAGAAGGAAGCCCTACAAAGTTTGACAGTGTGTTGTAGAACAGTGTTTCTCAACCTTGGCAACTTGAAGATGTCTGGACTTCAACTCCCAGAATTCCCCAGCCAGCATTCGCTGGCTGGGGAATTCTGAGAGTTGAAGTCCGGACATCTTCAAGTTGCCAAGGTTGAGAAACACTGTTGTAGAAAGATGGGGGTGAATGGTGAGAAGAACAGGGCGGGGCTAGATGATGATGAGATTAGTGGCTTCATGGATGCTTCCTTGAGGTTCTCTTGGCAACATTGAAAGATTGCTGCTGCTTTCCGGGTTCTTCTCATTGGAATCTACATTGTTCTATACACAGAGAGAACAAAAATAGTAGAACTGGTTTGGTCTCCTATACTGAGCTTCTGTTATCTTAATGTTCATTTTTACAGCCGCAGCCAACAAAAGATGCATTTACTGTCAAGAGTCAAAGCAAGGCATTTAGTAGCCTTGCTGATGTATGATAAGCGAAGAACCAACCTTTAATCATTTTGTTTTCAAAGGAGCTTTTGAGGTCTTTTGAAGACAAACCTTTTTTTCCTGAGATCTATTTGATTTAATAAAAAAAAACAGGTAAGGAGATTTCTCCAAGTCTCCTTTTATCCAGTCCTGCGTTTCTATGTTAAACTCAGCAGAAACCTACAGGTAAAAACTGAACTGCATGGAGGCTGTTGCTAGATTGAAAACAATCAGAACTGGTGATTTGGCACACCGTCAAAATAGCACATCACTTTTGTGGCATTCAGATAAGATGTTCCCACTGCAGTCCAGGGAAGATACGGCTGGTCTATCCAATTCACAGTATCTTGGGCTATGCTTGGCATGCAGCGCAACAGTGGCCCCTAGCTTTCACTGAGCTGAGAATTTGATGTCAAGAGGCACCTTTGGAGGGTGTCTATAGGACAGAAATGAAAATAGTCCCCATCATTGCAAAAGACACGATGAGATTTTGACTTAAATAACAGAGGATTCAAACTAGTTTCATTTTGGGATTGGATAAGGACATTCAGAGCTGATTTCAGAGTGGTTTCCTTCACTTGGTTTCACTAGGTAGATAGATTGGTTCATAGCAACACTAAAAAAATGAAAGAAAGTGAAACTAAGTTGAAGTTATTGAACATGGTCAATTTAGATCAGTAATAATTTGAGTTGCTCCTTTTGGTGGGGGGGAGTGCACATTTTTCTCTAAAGTGACAAAAAGCAGTTGAATTTTGCTTTTTTATCTTATATAATGTCAGGTTTAATAAAAGTGTCTACAACCAAAAAAAAACCACCTTAAATTGTCAAGTTTTATCTATTCTAGTTTCAGTTTTCGCCACTAATGGAATATTGCAACTAAAAAAAATCAATAGCATTTCAGTTCCCTGCTGATATATGAATATATAAAGTCACAATTAGCTCTTGATTGCAATATGTGCAGGTGGGCCATAGATGAATGTACATTGGATAAAACATAATGGCACCTATTTGGAAGGCAAGATATTTCTATAGAAATATTATTTTTATAGAAATATCTTGTCCATGGGAAAGTGAATGTGTGCATTATAGCAGCATAGTGATAGAGGTAACATTCTTCATAATAGTTGAATCTATTACTGATGCTCTCCATATAGTATGTATGTGTATACATATATACATATACATACACGACAGAGAGGAGAGGGAGAGAGAAAATAGTTCCTGAAGGCTTGTTTGTTTGTTTATCAAATTTATTGACTGCCCATCTTACCACAAGGTAACTCTGGATGGATTACAATATTAAAAATATTACAAAACCTATACACTACATAATATAAAAGATAAATACTCAACCCTAATCCTCATATAAGATACAATATGCTAGTGAGAAAATGCACTCTGGACTTTTTGGCCCAAGCCAATTAATTTGGCAAGTTAATTGCTCAATTAGAACTCTAAAGAAATGCTTTGCAGCAATTTTTGGGGAGCCACAGGGCAAGGAACTCCCATTTCATGTTTCCTCCAATCTGGGATTTCTCTAAAATGTTGGCATGCTCCAAGCCATCCAACTCTCCTGGCCTTTCCTGCCAAACGGGAGCTTTCCCTTCATTGCTTTCCCTTCAAAATAAACAATTTTCTTTTTCTTTTCATCCTTCTCTTTGGCTGGCTGGAGGAGCATCAGTGAGCCTAAGGGGACAAAGGAGAGGATAGCTGTAGGGCAGTTATTAAAAATTGGGAGATAATAACTACCTCAACAGCAGCAACCAGAACAACAATATAGCCAAACATGCCCAGTTGAGAATTAATTAGATTAGCAAGTTCTATTTTCTGGTGGGCAGCATTGCCAGACATGACCTCTCCTTGCTTTCTTCCAAGGGCTGAGAGAACATGAGTGGGTGCCTGCCAAAAGCAAGGCAAGAACTCCGGTTTCCCCACTCCTCATCCAGCACCT